AAGATGGTTTTTATGTTTTTTACGCTCTTGTTTGTTTGTGTTTGTTGTAAAAAATAAAAAAAAATTTTTTTTAAAGAAGTTTGCCTTATGGTTCCTCTTCAGTCTGTGCTCACTCATTGACTGAGTAGCTTCTTCATGCTAAAGCCCTACCCATATGAACCAGCCCCAGAGTTTTGTAGCCATAGTTGATGTCTTTGTATGCCAATTATGGTTAAACCATGAATTACTATGATGTCTATATTGGGCCATTTCTTCTCCCCTTCCCTCAATTTTCAGATGCCCCCCACCTCCACTGAATTTTTTATTCTCAGTCCTCTCTATTTATCTTTCTCAATTTGAGATCCTCTGATTCTTCTCAGGAGGTGCCTTGATTTCCCTGAACTTCTCTAGCACCCTATACCAGTGATTCTCAAACATTTTAGTCTCAGAATCCCTTTAGATTCTTAAAACCGATTGAGCACCCCAAAGTGCTCACCCTAACCCTAACCCTAACCCAAAGTTCTTTGGTTTATGTGGGTCATATCTCTCGATATGTATTGTATTAGGAATTAAAACTGAGAAATGGCAAAATATTTATTTATTTATTTATTTGACTTCATGGACTCCTTGGAAGGGTCTTGGGGACCCCCAGAGGTCCCCAGACCACACTTGGAGAACTGCTACCCTATACTATACAATGCAATCCACTATCCTCCTGTTCAAAATGCCACTCTCCACTAACAGTGTATCTGGGGCCTGCATGCAAATTTTAGGTAGGATATGCACATTTAGGTAAATGATGGGTCATGTAAATTAGGGTGCCAACCTGAATTCTAGGGAGTTGGAGCCCACACATCTTAAAGTTACTGAGATTGAGAGACAGTGCCCTAGGGTATGGAGAACTCTTGCACCAAACTTGTTGGCTTACCACATGGACAGGTAGTTTTCTTTCTTTTTCCTCTCTCCCCCCCTTTATTTGCTCCATCCAATTGTCCACTCACCCTCTTCTTCACCCTTCTCTCTCCTTTAAGTATTTTTAGCTTTCCCGATGAACCTCCTTGTAACAAAAAACCCAGTTGGCCCTTTATTTGCATTCTAACAGAACAAGAAGTTGCCTTTTCATCCCAGGGACTACCACAGTTGAACCCATAAGCGTCCTCCAGATGGCCCTGACTACAAAACCCATCATACTTCATCGCTGGTCACGGTACCTAAGGCTGGTGGGAGTTAGAGTCGGTGCCAGCACATTCTTTAGAACCATCATTGGTTTTGTGTTTTCACCTAGGCAAGATCCACCTGTGGTTGGTCTGCCATTCCGCTTCTAACCAAACAGTCAAGAAATCCAGCTATTTGGATGTGTGTGCAAACACTCCCCCAATGCACCTTTTTGGAGGACATCATGATTTCCAGTAATTCAATGCCTCTGTTTATTTCATAAATAAATAAATAAATAAATAAGCCTTGAACCAAGGAGGAGAAAATGTCAGGGGGTCACAGTTGTCTTATCTGTCTCTGGGCCACTCAAAAGCCACTCAAATGTCAAGATAACCTTTAACAGATAAGGGGGGTGAGGACATTGAGTGATCCCAGCAGAATATTTACCAAATACTCAGAGAGAGCCGCTTTGAAAAGACCCGCCAGGCGATAAAGTAGCCATCGCAAAGGGCGACCCTGTGATAAGATAGCCCATGGAGGGAAGAACAGATGAAAAAAGGGAATGAGAAAGCTACAGAACTGAAACAAGGCCACAAAATATAAAACAAGGTGAGGGAAATAATGAAACAGTTCTCGGGGTGGAGGGGAACTCCGATTTGCAAGACGGTTTTCTTCGACCTGAGAACGCTCTGATATAATCCATTGTTTGGAATTGTTGGGGCATCTTGTGGTAGGTCCCAGATAGCTGCAATCACAAAAGACATACTTATCAGATGGTAAACTAGCTGGACACACAATAACCACTCAGGTTATTTTTACTTTGTTTTTCTAGGCAAGGACAGCAGTCCTTCCCGGTGAGCTACTTCATTGTCTGCTGGGACGGGTAAGCTGAGGTGCTTCCTTTATCTCAATGTTGTCCAAACTTGGCCATTTTAAGATGAGTGGACTTCAACT